TTGGAATTGTTGATTCTTTGTATTGTTTTCTTTGTTTTGATTTCATTAATTTCTGCTCTGATTTTTGTTATTTCTTCTTGTCTGCTGGGTTTGGATTTAATTTGTTGTTGCTTTTCAACATTGAGTTGCAATGTTAAGTCATTCATTTGTGTTCTGTCTGATTTTTTGATGTAGGCTCTTAGCGCTTTGAACTTCCCTCTAAGGACAGCTTTCAGTGTGTCTCAGAGGTTTTGTTGTGTTGTATTGTCCTTTTCATTTAGTTCCAGGAATACTTGTATTTATTTCTTAATTTCTCTTTTGACCAATTCATCTTTAAGAGTGTGTTGTTTAATCTCCATGTGTTCATGTGGTGATTAGGGCTTCTTCCAGTGTTGAGTGTAAGCTTTATTGCATTGTAGTCTGATAGAATACATGGAATTTTTTCAATCTTTCTGTATTTGTTGAGGTTTGTTTTATGCCCCAGTATGTGGTTGATTTTGGAGAAGGTTCCATGGGGTACTGAGTAGAAAGTGTGTCCTTTGGTGCTTGGGTGGAATACTCAGTAGATGTCTGTTAAGTCCATTTGATATATGGTATTGTTTAATTCAGATGTCTCTCTGTTAAGTCTCTGGCCTGTTGACCTATCTAATGGAGATAGTGGGGTATTGAAGTCCCCTACTATTAATGAGTTGGGGTTAATTTGGGTCTTGAAGTCCTGTAGTATTTTTTTTATGAAGTTGGGTGCACCAGAGTTTGGTGAATATATGTTCATGATTGTAATATCTTCTTGATTGATTGTTCCTTTGATCAGAATGAAGTGGCCCTCTTTATCTCTTCTGATTAGTTTTAGTTTAAAGACTATTTTTCAGATATTATAATTCCAACGCCTGCTTTTTTCTTAGTACCATTTGCTTGGTATATTTTTTCCATCCTTTCACTTTAAGATAGTGTCTGTCCTTGAAAGTGAGATGAGTTTCTTGTAGACAACAAAAAGATGGGTTTTGTTTCTTAATCCATTTAACCAGTCTGTGCCTTTTGACTGGGGAGTTCATTATTTTGATATTTAAAGTTATTAATGAAAGATGTGTCTTGAATCTTGTCATTTTTATTTCTGTTCACCTTCTCGATATAGCTGTGCATTTCCACAGTTATACCACAGCTATACCTTCATTGAATTTCTTTCCATAACCCCTTGGGTATAGTCATTCCTTTCTGTGATGGCTGCTATTCCAAGTGTGTCTTGACTTTGTCATT